TCCCTGCACCGCCAGCCTCCGCCTCTCCTCCAGTCCTCGAATCTCTTCTTCGGCTTCCCAAAGTTACTCGAGCGCAACTCCGAAATTTGTCAAATTTATATCACAAAGTGAGACAAAGGATTATAAACAAAAGGTGACTTTAACGACCGACTGCAATGAACTGAATTCCACCTTGGTCAGGTTCTTAATATACTCTATAATTTTAGCCGAGCAACTGAAGGCAGACACCGAAACGTTTTGCTTAAATATTTGTGTCTGTAAAGTGTCTGTTTGTGTATATGTATACATATACACACGTTAAGGAGCTCCCGCCCCTTCCATTCATTTCTGTTTGTAAAGCGTGTGTACGTACACATACACACTTTACAAACAGAAATATTCCAGTAAAACTCGCACGCACGCGAATAAATAAAGGAAGGAGGGAAAAGAAATGCAAAATGTATTCTTTCTATTACTTCTACCGCCACGACATCTTAACTCATGCTCGCCTTCATCATCCAACAAAATTTAGCGAGCGATCCTAAGTAAATTTATTTATCTGGAATCGTCGTTCAGAATCTGGGCTTGGGAGCCGGGCGTCTAACCTCCGAGCGGTGGAAACTCCGTGGGACGTCAAGAGGCGGCTTCGTATCGACTTAGGCCATTGGTCCCTGGCCCTCAGTCTTGACGACACTGATTGGCAGCGGCTCTCCGGGGCCTTTCCTAGCACTAGCCGGAGATGGTCAGGATGAAACCTGGGGCCTTTTTGCATATAAAGCACCGGCTGTTTCCCTCTCGTACTAAACGGCTGCGTTTGGGGTAATGCTTGATTCCTATGGGTGGCATAGAATCTTGGAAAGGAAGAAAGAAAGAATGAATGAATGAAAGAATCTGCCTTTTAGGTCAAGCCCAGGTGCCCATAAAGTAATGAGAATCGCCAGACCGTAAAACAAATACTGAATGCCCGCGGTGTCTCCAAGCAAATTAAACACGGGTTCTCTTCTCAATAAATGTTGGCCGGTCGGAGAGGAAGGATTTATCCACCTGCTTGTACCTGTTAGTTCAAGTGGCCGGCCTCCTGGGCCAGGAAGGCATCGCCTGGAAAGAGAGAACCATCCGAAGGGGAGGAGAATGCCTTCAATTAAAAAGACCGAATTTACTTTGCCAAACTAATAAGACTGGCGGCGGCGATGATGCAAGGGGCTTCTCGAAGAAGGCCAGGGAGGGAAGGGCCCCCCTCCCTTTCCATTCATTATGCTGCGCTGCTAAGCAACCGCTTGCAAAGTACTGATCATTCCCTCTCCTCCCCTCCCCTCCTCCTCCCTCGTCCTTCTATTGCTCTTCCTGGCAAAAGGCGCCTCGGTAGAAATTCAATATGATCCTGGATGCGAGGCAGGGAGCTGTCAGATAAATTTCTTTCCAACCCATCCTGGAGCTCGCAGGAGCCAGAGAATTTCGTGACAATATTAGTCTTTCATTCATTTTTCATATTTTTTTTATGAAAAAATATATGAAAGAGCGAGGGAGAGAAAGAAAATAGGAAACAGTGAGAACGTGTGTGAGACTCTTCTCTCTCTCTCTCTCTCTCTCTCTCTGAGAAAAATGGCAATATTGTGCCATTGGCACTGAAAGAGTCCAGACCGACCTGAACATCTCGGGCTGCCTTGTGCTTACCCCTCCCGCCATAAAGCTAAAGTTATAGGGGCAGAGGGGAGTTTTCAAAGTGAAAGAGCCCGTGCGCCCTACTTGTAGAACAGCCCCCCTGTGCTCTCAGTGAAACTTATCAGTAAACATGTCCAGGATCGAGCTATTAATGGGCTAACTTTTAACCGCACTTGGGCCTACATTTTTTCTGTCCCCGAACAGAAAAGGGAGGGAGGAAAAAAGAGAGCGAATAAGTCAGGAAAACAAGATTTCAAACAGTATATTCAATGCCTTTTAAATTAAAAAAAAAAGCGTGTGTGTCAAGAGAAATATTTACAAAAAAACTCGAGAAAATAATAGGTATAGAATAAGAATATATGACTGCATGAACCGGGAGAGGGAGGAAGAATTACAGAATCGACATACAGTATATATCCTGAACACAATCTACACTTTATTTCAGACTACAGATTTCTGAACATAAGAAAAAAATCTTTGGCTTGCAGCAAGGGGGGGGGGTTCAGTCTCGCAGTCTGTGGGTCATATTTGTTATTGTTCTGACTTGGGAGCGGGGCGGAGGAGGGGGAGAAAGAGAAAATAAGCACACACAC